GATTCACACAATGCATTCCCTACACACATATCAGGACATCCCCTACACACTCCACCCCCTGTGAACAAACTCATTGGTGGAACATGAAGGTGGACCCTGGGACCCAGACCTTGAGCTGTGTAAAGGACCCCCTAGGGCGGCAAAAACCCTTGCACCGGCCCTGGCTGGAGGGGGCTGTGTGAGCTGTGGCCGCACAGTGTCCCATGGTAGTTAGGGTGCCGTGCGGCCAGTACAGCTCACTCAAGCAAACAGCTGATAAACTGGCCGCACGGAGGAAATGTGTATGTGTGACTGTCTGCCTGTGACTGTATGTGACTGTCTGCCTGTAACTGAGTATGTGACTGTCTGTAACTGAGTGTGTGACTGTCTGCCTGTAAATGTGTGTGTGGGGCTGCAGGGATTTTGTAGAAGGGACAGGAGTCTTTACAAATTGTAAAAAAAAAAAAAGAGAACCTTTAAAAATTTTTACAGGTTTTTTTTGGACAGATCCGCCCCGGGTGCCAAATGCTCTAGGTACACCCCTGCTGCTTTCTATCAGGCCTTTATGTGGCGGTCTAATCACAGACTTCCCAAAGCAGCTCAATGAGAAGTATTAGCAAGGCAGGTGCTCTGAGCAATTGCTGCCTCTTGAGTTTAGCTCCACTGAGCTAAACAAACCAGGAAGTAAAAGCACCATGAGCCTGATTCACAGCTAGGGATGTGTAACATAGTTAATTTATAAATGTGGAGATTTCTACTGAAATCTGCACTTTTTGTAAAATAAGAAAAGAGGACAGTCCCTTCACACCTAATGCTCTTCAGTAGAGGTCTAAGGTTCTTTAGGGGTCTAGCGTGTCCCTTTAGGATAAAGCGCTAGAACATGAGAAATCAAATATAAATTGTACTAACAGAAATGCTAGTAAATGGATAGTTATTCAGACACATTTATTATGAATTATGGTTGTTTTAGCTCAATTTTACTATTTGGGCTTCATTTCACTACATTTCGCTGTTTACTGAACAACATTGAACCTGTTATGTAACTCTCTGTTTCCATGTAATCCGGGGTTTTTTGACAGTTGTTGCTTTGTAATTTACTTTTCATGTGTTTGAGGCTACATGACTCCTCTTTCCCTCTCTCCACTAGAAGTCTTTCATCAACCTTCCTTTAACAGATCAATTGACTGATAGAGTTGAGAATCCCTTTCTCAGTATTCTATTGATCTTGGAATCATAGAAGTTTACATTTGACCTGCGATCTGTACTTCCTTGAAAAAGTATCAGTATCAGGAATTGCCAAATCAATATGAACTTTAAAAATAAAAAAATCCTGCATACATATTTTTATAACATCGATTTTTGTTAAGGCATTTCTTTATAAAATGTCAGAATGTTTGAATTTGCTTGTCCTCTTAAGATATTCTTATATACTAATTCAAAAATTATGAATGGAAGTTAAAATTAAAGGGACACTATAGTCACCCAGACCACTTCAGGTTAACAAGGAATCTTGGTGCAGTGTCCCTATCCTTTTAACCCTGCATTGTAAACATTGTTATTCTTATTTTTAAAATTCCTGCTTTACATAGCAAGGTTAAATCTAGCTCTAGTGGCTGTCGGTATGATAGCCACTAGAGACGCTGCCGCTGCACTAACCAAGTAAAACTCACACAATGCGGAAGCCCCCATAAGAAAACATAGATTCAGTGCTTTCCTATAGAAACACTAGAATGCACACATGGTGCTCGCTTTGCATGCGCATTCCGCCTCCAGTGTTCCTCAATTAGAAGGATTGGATTGGACCAGGGGGCAGAGAGGAGGAGAGGTAAGCAGCGCCAAGGGAGTAAATCCTTATTTTTTAAGGATATTTTTTGAGTGGGCTCTGGGCTGTGTAGAGCTAGGGACAGAGGTACTATAGGGTTAGGAATCCATGAATTAATTTGCGAAATAAAAAAAAAAATGGCATGGGGAAATAAAATGGGTCGCCATATATATTAACAGATCAAAGTGCATATAATTAAATATCATGGCACTGTCATGAAATTAAATGTAGTTTAAAAAAATATCCCCTATATATAAACTTAAAAAAAAATATGTAATGTAAGACTTTTTTTTCTCCATGAGTTTTTTTTTTTTTTTTGTAAAGTATTTTTTTTTCCTTAGCATATTATAAACTCACTAATGGAAAATATTTTTACTACAGTATTTATTAGACTTGTGCACAAATTCACTTCAGCATGTGGAACATCAATGAATAAGACTTATTCGTCCAGGCGTATATTAAAAGGAATTTGATTAATTGATAGCAGCTGAAACACATTTGTGCACAGGTCTATTTATTATAATTATTTAGGTATTCAGCTCACTTCAATGTGGTGTTTAGTGAATAAGCCCAGAATTGTGAAGAGTTGACAAAAGAATTGCAATTTTAGACTGAAATAGCTAAACTGGACAAATCTAAAATCCCAATTTTTTCACCTTTGCTATTTTAGACTACATTTCTTTGTCAAATTTACAGTTTATTAAATAAACCGCACATGTCTCTATTAAAATAAATAATTCTATTTCACTTTTGATGAATTTGGCTGCACAGAAACATAGCTATTATTTTAGAATATCCTACATATTTAAGTTTAATGTTTTTAAGGTTCCCAGGCGTAAACCATACTTCAGAGTCCAACACGATTGCGGAATACTATCGTACACATATTAAATGAAATTAATTTATGTATACTATTTAACAATTATCATACCTCAACTACGTCAAATTTTAAATAACTTATAACAATCAATATTTTGTAATGAACTCATCAATGATTTCCTTTCCAAAACTCCCCCTTAAGTGGAGCAGGTATTCTAGAAACCAGTCTCTTTTTTACGAGTATATGCATACGCAGCAGAATTAATGTATTCTTGATTACATGTAGCACAGACATTAAATTCACCGTTATAGCTTGCTGTGCAAGGTAATGACCCCCCTCATCCCTCGCCAAGCTGAATGAACAATAAGCTTTGGATTAAAAAGGCTACCCTGACAACCAATCAGCTGGGCCCAGCTCTGCCTGTTGTAGATACCATCACTAAGGCACACAGCTTACGAGCTGTCAGAGAGGGACATTTAAACAAGAAAGAGATCAAAGGCTTTTCTTGATTGGGAAACACAAGCACACAGAATACTTTGTGCTATGATGCATTTTTAAGAACCAATATATATTTATGAATTTATATTCAGATTAGAGAGCTGTCATGGCAATGTCTTGTATTCTAGATGATGAAAAGCTGGGCGATGCAAGTTTTTTAATATTTTCTAGAAGCAAGAATGAATTTGAGATCTCTGACAGCAGCTTGGATGAAGCTCTGACATTTTCTCCAGATCTGGGACTGTCACCTGTCACTGGATTGACTGGTAATATGGGACATCTGAAATGTAAAGACAGGTAAAGTAAAAAAGAAAAATATAAAGAGAAAATTGAAAATTATTAGGAAAACATATAGTTAAAGGATATATGTCTTCAAACGCGTAGGTTAATCAGGTTACTTTACCAGTAATTTAAAACCTGTTTATATTTAGCTTTGAAATAAGCACAGATTAGTTTTTATAATAAAATGAGTACTAACACTAATCTGCTAGTCCTATAGATTGATTTTTGGATGTAGTGATTGGAGTGAAGAATTAAACTTGGGGGTCATAAGGCAAGCCACATTCTAACAACCATATCCCCCATATAGTTGTTAGAATGTGACTTGCCTTATCAAAGTGTTCTGAAAATTCTGTTTTATTTTGATAACATTTATTACAGTGATCTAAAACATGACCGTTTTATTTATTGTAAATTTAGAATAATTATCACTATGGCTGTTATCTGCTAATAAATGATGTGGGGTACACTGATATTACTGGTGTTGTAATGATTTGCAGTACACTGTAATAACTGGTGTTTTAATGATGTGGGGTACACTGATATAACTGGCGTTTAATGATGTGGGGTACACTGGTATAACTGGTGTTTAATGATGTGGGGTACACTGATATAACTGGCGTTTAATGGTGTGGGGTACACTGGTATAACTGGCATTTAATGATGTGGGGTACACTAATAGAACTGGCATTTAATGATGTGAGGTACACTGGTATAACTGGCGTTTAATGGTGTGGGGTACACTGATATAACTGGCGTTTAATGGTGTGGGGTACACTGGTATAACTGGCGTTTAATGATGTGGGGTACACTAATAGAACTGGTGTTTAATGATGTGAGGTACACTGGTATAACTGGCGTTTAATGATGTGGGGTACACTAATAGAACTGGCATTTAATGACGTGGGGTACACTTGTATAACTGGCGTCAAATGATGTGGGGTACACTGATATAACGGGTGTTTAATGATGTGGGGTACACTGATATAACTGGTGTTTTAATGATGTGGGGTACACTGATATAACTGTTGTTTTAATGATGTGGGATACACTAATAGAACTGGCATTTAATGATGTGGGGTACACTTGTATAACTGGCGTCAAATGATGTGGGGTACAGTGATATAACGGGCGTTTAATGATGTGGAGTACACTGATATAACTGGTGTTTTAATGATGTGGGGTACACTGATATAACTGTTGTTTTAATGATGTGGGGTACACTGATATAACTGTTGTTTTAATGATGTGGGGTACACTGATATAACTGTTGTTTTAATGATGTGGGATACACTAATAGAACTGGTCGTTTAATAATGAGGGGTACACTGGTATAACTGGCGTCTAATGATGTGGGGTACACTGATATGATGGGTGTTTAATGATGTGGGGTACACTGATATAACTGTTGTTTCCATGATGTGAGGTACACTGATGTGATTGATGTAACTAATAATGCCTAATGATAATCTGGCTCTGGAGGTACCTGATGATGTTATAATATAGGGTAGAGTAATCCTACATTATTGAAGCAGTTTTTGTGAGTATATAGGGTTGGGTTAGGAGAGCTATTTAGGGATACTGGTATCAAGGGTTACAGGGTATCTGCCTTTAGGATTCTGTGAATGTAACTCCTATCACTTTCAGCCAAGTGAGCAACAATCCATGCCCCATAGATCCCCTCAAGCCTAACAATAAACATAATATAGCCATCAGTAATGCTAGCCATCCCTGGACACTATGAACCCCATAACACTAGCCCACCTGTAATCCTAAGAAGTCATACCCTTAGTCATATAGCACCGACAAGACCTTCCACTCTAAATGTGTAATATATTGCATGAGAATATGAAATGTGTATATCAGTACTACTATTCAGTTAACTTGCATGTCTTCTTTTCTTCAAAATATCTTATTGTTTGACATGGACGGGATACATTAGATATATATTGTATGTATTAATCAAAGTATAAACTGCAGGTAGGCAAATTTGTGCAGAATCAGATCATCTCAATGCAATTCCAATCACCCTCATCCAGCCATAATAGAAGTTCAGACCATCTTAACAGTAGGTACCCCATAACACCAACCCTAACCCAAATCTCAATAGAAACACAGAAATGATGTTATTGCTATACATAATAACAGGGTGCCTTGCTGCTCCCCACGTTTACCATTGAGCTGTTATTGCCGCCTTTTAAAAATACAGATTAAGGAACAGCACACACACAAAAATCCAGTTTAAAATTTTACAAGGCTACGTAAAATCACATGTGTATCTTTGTAACATTTGAAACTGTATATTTGTGTGTGCGCTGTTCCTTAATCTATATTTTGTGTACATAGTGGTCTTTACCAACTGCTGAGAAATACATGTTCCGAGTGTGCCCCCAATTTCTCTTTTTCCACTGCCACCTTTTCAGTGACATCACTGTCTGTCACCTACCTCTAACCTATGATTACCTGTATTTGCATTAACTGAGCATAACGTATCATTAAACTAGGGGTTAACCAAATATAGCCAATAACGGGCACCCTTTGTTGTAGGTTATCTGGCATCACACCAAGACGACGATTAAAGCTGTCCCCTGACTCTCAAAACCCCAGCCCTACCGACTCAACTTGTCAGCTTCACCCTGCCATGGGAACAGCCACAGGTGAGAACAAAGCACACTGTCCTTGCAGGTCATGTTACAACAGACGTATGATGTCACCAGTCACTGTTTGAGGATAGGTAATAGTCTCAAAATGAGAGGACTTTAGACAAAGAATATTCTTTTGGGATTAGTGTTTTTATGAGCTTCTTGGATCTAATTTACCTGTTTAATCTTTTGAGTACCAGATATAGCACACCTCTCCCTGCATTTGTAACAGTACAGCGTTAATGAATTTGCAGAATGTCTGCAGAAGCAAAGTGGATACAATTAAATCTGTATTAGTGATTTAAATATATTTTTATTAATGAATGTGATATTTGTATCTGATCTGTTCCTCTCGTCATTTAGTTTCTGGCAAATGTTATAAAGGGGAGATGTAACTTCTCCAGAATTTACATTTTTGCGCAAAATATTTTAAACAAATCACCTATAACTTACTTACAGTCTATTTTAAAAAGGCTGGGTCACCGTAAACTCCTAAAAAGGGAACCGGCAACATTAAATAAAACATTGGAAATTACCTATAAGTTATGTTAACCTTTCTTATGTGATGCTGTATTTTCTTGTAAATATTTATTTATGCTGTCTCTATGCTGACTCACATACAAAGGGCTGAGATTTTTTACAATGACTAACAAAGAGGCAAGATGGAGGGGCTTAATTCCTGGATAAATATAAATACAGACGCGTGGATTTCTAAATTAGTTTATAATTTACAGACCTAACAAGCACGTATTTGTGAAATAAAGGGATACTTAAACATAGCGTTAAAAACCTTGAGAACTGACAGGTCCATTTTAAAGATAGTCATCTCTTCCAGGAGATCTAAGCCAGGTTGCCAGCCATGCACAGCTGGTCTTATCTCAGGGGAGCTAACAGAAGCTCTGTGCAAAAGTTTCCGCCTCTTCTTCAAACACTAGGTAACCTGTCAAACTGTTTGCAAATGGCTTGATGAGGGCAGTCTGGCCACCATAACCACTAATGTTTGTTGTTGTGATTATGGTGCTTGCATACTAGCATTTTAAATTTATTTTTCTCATATTTACCAATCTTTATTACATTTAAGCAAATATCTATTTACTGTTGTGGCAGAAGAAATAGGCCTGCTAGTTATATCCACTGAGTTTATTTTAGATAAGTTTTTGAAAGCTGGAACCTCAAGTCACGCCCCTATTCCATTTTCTCCTTTTAGGATTTGGAATTCGGGCACCAATTACCGACGGGTTTAGATTGACAGAACATATAGATCCATGTCCCAGATCTCCCTTCTTCTCATTACTTGCTGTTTAGTGACAGAGGTTTCAAGCTTATGATGTCATTATGCCAGCAATAATGAGGGGGGGGGGGAAGCCTAGGAAATCCCTCTTATAAGGATAAGGATCTCACTTTTGAGTTTATTCATTAAATCCCAGTTGGATATTTGTCCAGTTTATCACGTTTCATGTAAATAAATTCTGCTAGCCACTTATCAACTCACAGCAATCGATCCCTATGAACAAATCCATATATTATATCTGTCTTGTGTGTGTCTGAAATAATTACATCTATTTAGTTGTAAATATCTTGTTTAACATCTTTGCAGAGTTTCCAAATGAGTCGACACCGAAAGTTAGCCCTGAAATCTGCAGCACAAGGTACAGTGTCTAAAAATTAATATATGCACAGACCACAATGCATTGCAGGTTATACATTTTAGCAAGGGACATTCTCACTGGCTCCAAATTAGTGACCACGGGGGGGCGGGACCGGGGGCCGTCGAGCTGATTACCAGCCATCTCACAAAGCTCCAGCCTTGAGTCTGAAAAGATGCTGAAATAATGCACACCGAATGCTTGTATGCCTTAGAGGTGCAAAGATCTATGGAGAAGAATTCCCCGGCAACTAATAGACATCAAAATACAGTCGATACTACCAGGATTCGGGTGAAATTACCGCCTGCGGTATACTTTGACATCAGAGCCTGACATGTGGCGGCCCACATGCCAGAGCTAGCCGATCGCTGTCTGCAATACGCCTACGCTACAGATGGGGAAATCACCCAACAGAATGATGGTGCAATTAATGCTGAACATCCTCGGGTTTGCTGGGGTGGCGCTGCTCCACCTTCCCCCCCTTACACCGGGGGGTTATCCCGGTCCACTGTGGCATTTTGAAAGTTAATAGTTACGTTGGAACCTTGCTCTACCTACCTTTACCTCTCAACCATGCACACATTCGCCTGAAGGCTGCCATGGCTGACACTCTGGCTTCGCAAAGCAAAACCCTCCTTGCAACTTTATAAAATCCCACTAGGTGTGTTGGGCAACCGCAGCTCCTACCTGATTGCAGCTTGCCGACCTGAGCAGAGCCTCTGCATCTGGGCTTTGATGAGGGGGGCCTACAGCGGATTGTCCCTGTTGCTGAGAGCCCAGGTGGACTGACATGTGGGAGACCAGTAGCTGAGAGGTTCCTCACCTTTCGTCCCCAATGGCCGGCGATGAGAGAGACATGTGGAGCCGCTCATGTTGTCCCACCGGAGACCGGCGAACACAGCGGAGGTGCAGAAGGGAGCCAGTTGTCGTACTTTACGGGGGTGTGGGATTCTATGAACTGGCAGGACCTTTGAGTGCCCACTGTGCTGCGGGATTCAGGATGGGGGGGTTTGGAGCCGTTTGAGTGGGAGGGGACGGGGTCTGATACCGTGGGGACACATGCTTACATTTCTTGTGGGGGATGTGGTGTTGGGGAATGGGGGCCAGCAGTGCCGGTGTAATGTTTCTTTATCCATGCTTTGTACTCTCTCATTTTTGTTTTGACATTTTAAAATGTCTGGCAATACGTGTCATTGTAAAGCCACGAGTTCACTCCCATGGAGCGTAAGGTGGGGCCTTCATGCAGACCAAATCAAATCAACTTTTTTGCAAATCTAAGTGAATTTAATGCATAATTAAAACTTTAGACCAAACGATCTGAATTGACAAAAGTTACCCAATTCAGCTATTTTGGCCAAAAACTTGCATTTGTTTCTTTAGTGAATTATCCTGCCAGATTTACTTAAACCACAGTATCCCAGACAAAATGTGTTATTTTCAGTAGCTGCTCCTCTATCAAATATCCCTTGGTCTACAAAATGAACACCGCTCCTTTAAGGTTACCCCCATAGTTCTGGACAATTATTTAGGAAGTTCAGATGCTTAAAGGATTTAATCCACCATAAGAGAAATGTAGTACAAATGGAAATCATTTTGAAATACTGATGAATAGTCTTTTTTAAATAAATGTTTTATTATATATTGTGTGCAGTATACTTATTCATTTTCATTAATCCAATATATGAAGAAATGTTGGTAACACAATGCAACACATTTTTCATTTTTGTTAAACCCATAGTGACTGCGCTTTTGAAACAAGAGCCTGGAAAACGGTAAGTGTTCTTTTGTAACCTACAGGAGAAACTAATGTCAGCGTTATGGTTTTTATATTCTAAACACATTAATTAGATACTATTACTAATAATTTTTTAAGTACGAGGGATGAATGTACTAAAACATAAAAACTAATATAATTATTCGCAGAGTTAGAAAAAAACATCATGAATTTAAATTTTTAGGACAATTTATCCAAAATAAATACATAGCTGACTACTTTACCTTAAAATTGGATTTATTTTGAACTTGTAACAATTCACACTGTGCTAGTATACCTCCCAACTCCAGTATCCATAGAATTGGGAGTCTAGTGGGAGAGGTTTAGAGTGGTTCACCACTTTACAGGCAGATTAGTCTGGCGTGAATACACACTAGGTTACCTGCCTATTTTGTAAAGCCAGCGCACTGAGGGCAGACCCGGATGGGAGCGCTGCTTCGGTGCTCTCCGCAGAGTCCTAGTGCCATGAACATAGTGCAAACATGTCTAATAATTGGGCACAATTCCCTGGTGTCCCTAAAGGCGGGACCTGGAAACAGGGACTGTGCTGCCAGAATCAGGACGGTTGGGAGCTATGTAATAGCTAAGCATGATTTTTACCATCCTGGTGACAGCACGCTGGTAGCATTGCAGTAAAACTTAAAAAAATGACAAATTCCACAAAGTACAACTTAACTTTTCATGTTACTTTGCAATTTACTTGCAATTTGGCCAGCAGGCTGTATATATGCTATTTCATAGTGACCTCAAGTCATATTAAGCTTGGCATGTGGTGCGCCATATTATTTAGCAAATGGAAATATTCTTATGAATCAAAAAAAAGAATTCAAGCATTTAAAAATTGGAAATGTCTTTTCTTTGTTGAACGTATTTAGCAAACATAATGAAGACCCCAAATGCTTTGTTTTAGTACTGTCTGTTGCTTGTGGCTTATTATGCTAAACAAGTATCCACTGTACAGCGCTACGGAATTAGCTGGCGCTATATAAATAATAAAATAATAATACAAGATGCGTGTGTGCAGCTCACGTGCCAATAAGTGTCTGCAAGGATGGCATTTCTTCCTCTGGTTTCTAATAGATACATGCTAGATATATATTTACATATTAACTTTATTTTGTTCCATATTCATAAATAATCTCAATCCATAAATGAGTAAAAAAAAAAAAAGAGAGAGAGAGAGAGAATTGTGCAAATAAAGGACAAAGTTGAAACGAAACATGAAATTAGCCAAAATGGTTTATTTGCAAAATCAAGAATCAAAAATCAAGGAATTTTCCCAATTTGCCCGTTTTGTCCTGAATGTTGTAAGTCAGTTGTTATTTCACAGAACTCACTTTTTAGTGAAATGCTTTCACTAAACTTTGGAGTTAAAAAGTGTAATGTTTCATTCGCAGGGATATTTACTAAAGTGAGAATTGTCTGTAATTCAAAGTGAATTTTTAAATTTGAAGCCAAATTAGCCGAAATGAAAGCATAGCAAACTTTGAGATTGTATCTATTTCAGCTACTTTGCCCTTAAATTTGAAATGCACTTTAAATTCCTGATAATGTTCACTTCAGTGAATAACCCTGTTATTATTTAGAAACATAGAAACATAGAATGTGACGGCAGATAAGAAACATTCGGCCCATCTAGTCTGATTGGGAAATATGTTCATTCTTCAAATGCTTTTCTATTTTTTATTTTTAAGAAAAAAATAATAAGAAGAAATAAAGCAAGAGAAAATGAAAACGTCCTTCATCAAAATACGAGAAAGGTAAATGGACTCATCATCGTGTCATTGGCAATGCCCGTAATGGGTGAACCTGGCTGGGAAATTGCGTGAGATTGTCTAATGATGTGCTGCCCATGTACAGATCCCTGGTGTCCTCAAATTCAGGACATAACTGAGACAGCGGAACAGGATCCTTAAGTAGGGACTGTCTCACTGTAGTCGGGACTGTTTGGAGGACTGGAGCAGACATTACAATAGGAAGAGATAGGTCAATCTGGCGAAGCCACACTCAAACTGTTATAACGTACCTTTGTTTTGACATGTAACCAACAGAAGGCACAGTCTTTCTTAAAGATTGCGCATACTTACATAGGGATGAGATAAGTTACTGTCATTGGAAAGCATGGGATCTCTCTCAGTGGATGACAATGATATAAGGAACCAATAGTGTAAGCCATTATAGACCAATGACTCACAATCTGGTCCATAATACCTCACTGGAGCAGGTAATGTGCCCTTCGATCACAAAATGGGGGGGATGTAACAAGTTTAAGTAGAGTCTTGTCATTGGCTTAAAAATCGATTAAAGAGGCAATCTAAGCAACATAAACACTACAGCTCAAAGTAGCAGTTATATTACCTAAAGTCACCGGGATAATAAACCTTTGGCAATCCAGATGTTTTGGACTACACCCCCTCAATGCTCTTACACCTATAATGCCGGAAAAGCATCATGGGAGCTATAGTCTAAAACATCTGGAGTGCCGAAGGTTGCCTGCGCCTACAAGTCTAGGTGCTGTTCTCTGGTTTTATACCAGAGCATTTAATAGGGGCTTTTCCCAGCACCTACAAACCCCTTCCCAGCCGTATTGATAATGTGCGATATATATTACTGAATTGTCCAGGTCACTGTTGTTCAAAATTGACAGTGATGACTGACTGAGAGGGCTGAGAGTCAGGTGAGCTCAATTTAATCTCTATATTGTCATAATTGAAATACCCTTTTAGATTTTTTTTTTTTTATAATTATATGTATTCCATTATTTTCAAGAAATCATCTCGCATGAAGCTTTTAGAACTCTTCCAAAGTCCAGAGTGTATTGCGAGACCGCAGCCTGCTTGGTTAGAAAAAGGAACACCAGAGCAGGATGCCAAGAAACAAGACAACAGTGGAGATGGGGATCACATCCTCTCAGTGAGTAAATGTGCATGTTTTGATAGGCTGCTGTACAAAATGTGTCCACTGGGAACATCTAGGATTTATAGTCATTTTAAAACCTATAATTTTAGTACTGTACTATACCTCCCAACATGTCATGTAGACAAAGAGGGACACTTTAATTTTAAAATTGGGCACGGAGCAGGGCTGTTCTGAGAAATTTACTAATAACAATAATACAACTAAAATGTAATTTAGAACAAGAACAATGTATCTTATTTACACAGACTGAATTCTAAACACATTTACTTTTGTTTAAAGTCACAATAACGGGAGTATTATTGCTGTGGAGCTCCGTTATACACTCAGGAACACTAACAATATGAAGGTCCTATAAAACAGGGGCACTAAGATAAATAAGAGATATCGAGGGATTTTGTTCCAAAATAGGGACTGTCCCTCCTAAATAAGGACACTTGGGAGGTTTGCTGTAAAAAACATACAAATAAATTATGATATTTTGGCAAATGGAAATAAATAGTATCAGCAACTCAGCTCAAATAAGCTTTCAGTCCATAGGGAATTGGACATAAATACACGAGGGGTAGAAGTGAAAATATATCCTGTAAGGTTAAATGTTCTGCAAGTGACACAGTTCACATTGTTACTGACTAAAGTGTAAATTGTTGGGAATCCCAAGCAAATTTAAAATTTTAGGGCAAAGTTGTCCTGTATTGTAAGCATGGCTGGTGCTTTAATTGGAAACTAAGTTTAAGTCAACGGCAATTAACACTTTTTTGAACAACTTTGTTAGTTTTCTGTTCGGTAAACCCCTGTATAGTATTTAATCTATCATAGTCGTTAGCTGACTCCTACATTTGAACACTCACAATTTGTAACTTTAACTTGCTCTGGCACTGTACGCATTCCCTATACAAGTTAAGCGAACACTCCAAGCACCATTATAAGTGCATCCCGCTGTAACGTCATGGTGCTATGAGTGCCCAGGTGCCATCCCATGATAAGGTGTCAAACCATTTTAGCACGATCTGACAACCTACCTGGATACCCACTGTGCTCGCTCTGCCTCGAGTCTTCTCCAGAAGAAGAAAAGGCGTTTCCATAGAGTAAAGCATGGCTGATGCAGGACCACGCTTACAATCTGAGAACGCCAATATTTTAGAATGTATGACAAATAATCCATTTATTCTTCTAATATGTAGATGTGCATTAGCAGTCCGAAATGCAATATTACCGACAGTGAAGATGATGAACTAATTGGGGATTTCTCTAAAGTAAGTTAAACATGTTATCCAACAAAAAGCCAATCTGCATGCTTTTCCTCATCCTAGAATGGAATTGTCTCTTCTCTGGAAATTACACCATTGGACATTTCAAATCTCCTATATTTTGTGTTAACCTTGTTTATGCAATACTTTGTTATGTTTTAGATGTATAGTAAAGGTTTAGTAACTGACATTGCAACTCCAGTTCTGTCCTGGCACAGCAATGGCACACAGTGAGTTGGGGGAAGAAAACAAGAAACACTGTTTGTATCTTCATGTATCTATTCCAAGATGGAGGCAGCCAGTTACACTTCCTGGAGAATGCTAAATACATAGGCCTTCATTTATACTTGTAATTTAATTTTTCCAGACCTCATAAACACATATTTGGGGGAAATATAATCTGGAATTCTGGGAAGTGACAATCCCCTTTGAAAGGGTTTAACCACAGAAGAAGCAAACCTCTGTTTATAAATGTAATTTGGTTGACATGAAAGTATGAATGATTCTCTATATCATGGTATATTTGCACTAGTGGGGGACTTTAGGACAGGACTAGGATTCTTGTAGATGTAAGGCTTTAAAAAATGATTTTAGATTTCCGTCTTCCTATTTAGAACTTAGTTGTGTCAACTATACACACATTACAGGAATGTTTTATGCGAAGTCTGCATCGTTTTATGAATCATATGCATGTTGTATGAGCAGACTAAGATTTTCACATATGTGAAATTAGGTAGTTGTCTAAAGGGTTAATTATTTAGTGACCTGGCAGGTAGCAGATTGTTATGGCCTAATGGATTTTATTATCCCACATAGACTTGAAACTTTTTTTTTCTTTTTAAATAAGCTCTGTTTACAGGGATAACACAAATGAACTGAGGCTACAATCATAATTGTTTTGTGTCCCTCACCGCCATACACGATGCTGATATCTCATTATACACACAGTTTGTTTTTGTTGGTGGAGGTTGAGAGGTTCAGCAATTGAATTGCGCAATTTAAGCCACAGTAGGTAATTCGGTAAAAAAATAAAAATCTCCTCTGTTTGTTGAATAACCCCTGCACCACAGAGCAAAGCAATGGGACCTGGCTGAATACAGGTGAAAATGGAACTGAAGCAACATTATTCACTGTTATAAGAGTATTGTGAATAAGATATATGGTCAGAAAGCCAACAGAATGACAATTATGTGCATTTTTACTTAACCCCTTAAGGACCAAACTTCTGGAATAAAAGGGAATCATGACATGTCACACATGTCATGTGTCCTTAAGGGGTTAAAGGGACACTATAGGCACTAGAACAACTACAGCTTAATGTAGTTGTTCTGATGAGTATAATTATTGTTTTCAGGCATTTTCATGCAAACACTGCCTTTTCAGTGAAAGGGCAGTGTTTACATTGGCCTTAGGGATATCTCCTGTGACCACTCTTCAGATGGCCACTGGAGGGGCTTCCTGGGGCAGTGCTGCACAGTAGGCAGCACTGCCGTTCAGCATCTCTACGCTCTGCATGGAGATGTTGAATTTTCCTCATAGAGATGCATTGATTGACCCGCGCGGCGTTGGAAATAAGGTGAGTTTTAACCCCTTCCAGGTGGCAAGCCAATTAAATGGTGGTTTTAACACTACAGGTTCAGGTATAGTGTTCCTTTAATTATATAGTAAGTAAGTGCAATTTGTTTAGGGATCTCCAGTCCCCAAAGTATTGAGCTGTCTGTTTGTCTGGACAAAAATGGTTCTGCAGAAGGAATAAACCTTGTTGTTATATAAAGTGAGAGCTAATATAGGATGGTTTCACATACGACGGTCTGATTTTATGTTAATTTATGTATAGATGAATATATCACTCATATATAATATTGTCTTATTGTTTACAGTGTTACTGTTTGCCAATTGAAAATGGAAAGCACCAAGACCTTAAATATATAAACTCTACAACCGTAAGTAATTTCACACAAAGTTTTGGGCTGGCAAATGTTAAATCTGTGATAAAAGGCATATATCATTAGTACACAGAGAATGCTGGCGGTGGGCGATCATTGACAGAATTCCACACCCTTCAGGCCACACTAAGTCCTCCCTCAGCCCTGCCTCCATTTTATTTAACCCCTTAAGGACCAAACTTTTGGAATAAAAGGGAATCATGACATGTCACACATGTCGTGTGTCCTTAAGGGGTTAAACACGATTTTGTGTTGGAGTAACACTTTCCGCATTGACTTACTCCCTGGTTCGTCACCAAAAACTCAGTTTATAATGTAATGTGATGTGTTTTTAAATTATATCAATCAGAATTAATCCAAATTATAGCAAATTAAAATGCAAATTACAAAATTCAGGCAAAAAAAACTGTTCTGGAAAAACTGTCCTGCTCCGCCATACTTGTATATGTAGCCTCAGTTATGTTATATTTGGGCGTTTATTGAATACTCCCCAAAGACATTAAATATTGACTCTTTATCCGTAATATGTTTCAGTAGAAAATATGTTAAACTAACTTTATTTCTTATTCTATATCTTGGTTTCTGCTGATAAATATCCAGTTAGCACGGCTTCTCCGGGGAAGCTATAAGGACATTGTGCAGAAATATTGGGTGGTGGACTGTCGGTATCCTTATGAATTTGCTGGAGGACACATTAAGGTATAAAACACGCAGGCACTTTGTCATACTACATCATTTTATCATTATTTCCATTTTCCTGCATTTATACCAGTGTGTGTTAACCCCCTTATAACATTAGTGTTTAATATTTGTATCAAGAAACTTTAAGAAATATTAGGAAATGCTGTAGAATAACTGCATTAAGCCATTTAATAGCGTAAAGTGTGCCCCCTAACCAACTAGTTTTGAAAGAGTCAACCAATAATGATCATTTAAGAAAATAATCTTGATAACACCTGTACTTTGCAGTCTTGTTGTACAACATTTTGTTCTTCTGCAAAGGTGTGCTTGTTTATTTCTATACTGAATTTTACAAAATAAGGGAATACAGGTTCCACTATTAACATCTCTACCAGAGGATTGCCACTGTCATAATGACATAGGCACCCGTTCCTATGTACCAACGTTTGACATAAGCCAGTTTATTAGTGTGGTCCTACAGATACACCTGATGATGCTCCTTAATTCTTATTTGACCATTTACTCATCAATAGTGACTTATCCAAGGACAATTGACATAGTAAGATGAGTTGCATTGTTTAATAACTATTTAAGTCATTCAGTATCTGAACGATTATATTTCATTTTCTGCACAATTACTTAGGAACACAATTTATTACCTACACAATAAACTTCTTTGATTAAATGTAGACTGATTATAGTTCATCTCTCAGTAAATAAACGGATATTGTTTGTAAAGAATTTCAATCAATGCGTCTTTGTCTCAGGGAGCCAAGAATTTATTCAGAGAAGAGCACATTGCAGAAAAGTTTCTGAAGGATCCATCTCTTCCCGAAAGCAGAACCGTCTTGGTCTTTCATTGTGAATTTTCCTCAGAGAGGGCTCCCAAACTGTACGTAAAATAAACTGACATTATTCTGTGTTTTAGTTTTTTTTAATGTTTGTTAAAAACAACTCATTATGACACTCTGCCTTGTCCAAACTTTGCACTCAAGTGACTAATGTTTTAATATGAAAATGTAAAGGAATGCTGGTTTTAAACATGTGAAAGCTCTGCAGCACTTATATAAGGGTCTCAGAACCTTTGGCTGGGGTCCCTGTATCATGGAAGAAGAAGGTCCTCAAATCATGAGTAGCATATCTGCTAGAAAAATCCTGCAAGGCATCTGGTTCTAGGTAGTATGAAGAAGCACACGGCTGGAGATAATGATGGAAAGCCAGAATTAGAATAAGAGGAGTACTCAGCAATAGCACAAAGGAAGACAAGATACAGGAAAGAGAGGATTTTTTTTTATAATTGGACATAAAATTAGAGTGGAATATTGGGGACATGTCAAGTTTAAAGGAACACTCCAAGAACCATAGCCATTAAAGTGATTTTGGTGCCAAGAGTGCCCAAGTACTTCCCCCTTGTCCCATTGTAAGTAGTCAAGCTGTATTAGAATGGTCCACTGGGCACTGCTCCCTGAAACTTCCTTTAGCTCTTCTGCACTTAGCCCTGCATCAGCTGATCACTCTCAGCCAGTGAGCTTACAGCTCTTCGACTAAAGTAATGGAGTTGGGGTATCCGTGGGACCCAGGTAAGAAATCAAACCATTCAAAAATGGTTTCACTACCAACAATGGGGGCACCTCTGGCACTATGCAATATAGTGGTTATGGTGCTTAGAGTGTTTCTTTTAGAGAGTGAGCTACCTGTTCACTAAATACCCATTACTAAGTACCACCGTCCATAGTCAAAGAATGTGAACTGAACTCCAGAGCAGTGACAATAGAGACAATCAAGAAAACAGTCAATGTGCAAAGGACTATTTTCAAATCATGTTGCAATTATGTTCATCAAATAATATTTAGTTATTTTATGCATTGAATACAGTCTGATGGGTAATGAATAGACCCTATAGGCCTAGCAGGTATTTTGGGTAAATTCTGGATTTATTTAAAAACTAAATTAAAGTTTGTCATGTTTGTAGTTTGATGTCACGTAATAATCCTTTCAGGTAATACCATTGATGTATCTTATATTGTATAAACTTAGAAATGTCAAGTGACTGGCAAATTATAGTTTCAACTAATATACACTTTGTTATTGTAGGTGTCGCTTACTAAGAAACATGGACAGAAACGCCAATGTATATCCACTGCTGTATTACCCTGAACTGTATGTTTTAAAAGGTGGCTATAAGGATTTTTATGAAAAGTTTAAGGTATGTAATTTTTTCCCCTCAAGTGCAAAATGACAACTGTAGCAACATACAGCACTGGCGTTATAACTTACATTGATTTTTATTTTTTTTAATGATCCTGATTATGTCTGTATTTTAATGATCCTGATTATGTCTTCTGTGTCTCATTTCAATGCATTGTTATGCAAATGTTATGATTATTTTGTCCCATGATCTTCTCTTTCTGACTGCGATATAAGAAGATGAATTCTCATTTTACACAGATGTGTACTGTATTTTCTTGATTACAAGATGACCCCCCTCCAAATTTTGGACCTTGTTGAAAAAATAAATAAAATAGGCCTGAATATAAGACTACCCTATGGAGAAAACAATCAAATACACACTAACACATACAGATACATATAGGTATATTATGTAATGGCTAAAGTCAGCCACCATTTAAGTTACACTCACTTAGCCAGGGGTGCCCAAAAGGTAGATCCCCAGATGTTTTAAAACTACAGCTTCCATGACGCTTTGTCATTCTAAAAGCATTCCAAAGGCTTGCAAAGCATTAAGCGAGTTGTAGTTCTACAACATCTGGGGATCTACCTTTTTGGGCACCTGTGCACTAAACCATTCCAATCAAATGGCAACTACATACCACTCTCTTTGTAGACAAAGCTGAGGTTCTGTACTGAGCCATCTGATGTGAATGCTATTTTCTGACAGCAAGAAGCCCAATTACTAAGTACTTTAAATGAACTGCCAACAAGAGATGATGAATACCAACTAGACAATATAATGCTTTTCTAGAGAACTATGCCATCTGCAGGTCAATTAAACAAGGGAAATATACTCCAGATTTCAGATATTTCAGCTGCATCCTGCTGGCTATAAAAATAGGTTATCTTTATTTTTAAACATTTAATGGATATTTGTGAAAAATAACATAAATAAGTGTTTATCCCAGATAACTGACCAACATTACCATTGCAAATGGCATTATGATATGCAATTATATTTCTTCGAGTTATTTATGAAAGCTTGCAAAATTATTCAATATAGTTCGAAAATCTTTGCAAATTATTTACCTACAACAAATTGCCTTCTGTAGATAAATTATTTGGAAAAATGTCCTAACAATATCAAATAATTTGGAAAGTGTATTCAGTGGAGTCCTATGTAGGCAATTGTACAGCTGGTATAAGTTATGATCTATACATGTAATGAATTCGATCAACGAGAGGTTATTTGACAGTAGAAAACCATTTGATCCTGTCTGATATTGATTCAAATTTAATGTAATTTGTTTTTTAACAGGTTCTTTGTGAACCACAAGGTTATGTGAACATGCTGCACAGGGATTTCCAGGATCACCTAAAGCAATACCATCGCAAGAAAAAACCATCTGCACCGCACCGGGTCCGAAAAGAACTTTTCAAACCTCAGTCCACAAACAAAATCATGAACCAAGTGAAATCTCTAAAATCATAAAGAAGATTTAAAAAACAATGCATTTAAAAGAAAAGAAAACTGGTCATGCGATAAAACCTTTACTAGAGTTTTATAACAGACATGCTTCAAACCATATTTTGCTGGAATAGAATGTCACCCTTCTGTGATCTGTTACAATGACACAGCGTTGCTATACAGTATATGGGATACATCCATTCACCATCATAGACTTTTGAAATCATGCCAGTATATGAAGGATTGGGATTATTTTTTTATTACTGTTGTTGTTATTAATATTATTATTATTTATAGAACCAACAAATCCTGCACCTCTAAAAACATTATATTAAAGGTGTAAAAAAAATTAGATTGACAAATAGCTGTTTAGTATTTTAAATGTGAATATTGCACCATTAAAATGGCATTCCATTATTTAGAGTACATCACCATAACAGCAATTTATTAGTTTAAAAGTCTTTTTAATTCTGCTGTTAGAGATTTCATTGTGTGGATTTGGTGTAAGGTTACGGCTACTTTTTGAGGGTGCATGGAGTTTGGGTCCCCCTAACCATTTTGTCCACTCTTAAGGTAGTACCCTTCTTGGTTATGGGATACAGCTGCACTGAGCATGTTGTGGAAGGTAACTCCCTCCACTCTCAGCAAGTCCACAATGTCTGCAGTATCCATATTAGTTTATTGGACTATCCACATTGGCTACTGACCGTTAGCCGTGTATTCGAACTATGCTACAGGCCTACAATATGGCTCCATGCTATAAAATGTGCGTTACTATGATTGGTGCTGCTGTGCTATAATGATGTATGCTATTTTAAACTTGGTGTTCTGATGGCATTATTTTAAAAGTAATAGATGTTTAGGGCAGCCTGTGGAAATACAACTTTAATCTAAAGGAAGAGCTAAAACTGTAGCACTGGAAAAGATCAATCATGAAAACAGGAGAAATGTCATGATATGCCTAGAACTGTTGTAGTTTTTAGTATGATTTATGAGGCTCTTTGAAGAGAGTTGTGAGAGAACACTGAATACTGAGAGAGAGAGTCAAAGTTTTTGTGGTTGTGAGATTGAGCGATGTGGGGCAGCTTGTGAAAGCTCTTCTGAAACACTGTATGATGAGAAATTATTCATGAATGTAAGATGTAGCAGAGCTGAAGTGGAATTTATTAGTCTGTGTGCAAAGTATATTTAGTATTTACGCAGAGTGATGTAGCAGCAGTGTGTAATTTGAGTTGAGTCAAATTATGGTTTTTAAGGCTGAAAAAGCGAAACAGAATTTTTGTGGTATCTTCAGTGACAAATACCGAGAAATATTCTCAAGGTGACACAAACGTACAAACGTGAAAAGAGAGGAAGAGTTTAATAACATATGAGATGGAATGACTAATGCTTAGTTAGCTGGCGATATTTACTAATATAATCTGAGTGCATGCGAAGAATTTAAAGGGTTACTCCAACCAAAAAAACTGTGTTTTAAGAAAACACTGTTTTTGGTCAGAGTAACTTTTCCTATCCTTCCACCGCCTAACCAAAAAATAAAGAAAACACATAAAATAGTTAAAGCTCCACTCAGTTCCAGCTCTTAAACCAAGTTCTCACTTAGTCCATCTTTCCTGCGTTAAAATCACTATCCTTTGCTGAAGGAGGATGGATGTCAGGGAGGGCGTGCTGAGGGGAGGACATGGGCAATATGGAGGGGGGTGCTGCTATTGGTTGTCTTTCCCCAGCACACTGTGCATGCTGATGACAGATGCCAAACATGCACCGAACTGACATTAGTGAGTAAGAGCTCTTGTTCTGGGCTGGTTAATGACGCCCCAATGACACTACTGAAGGTGGAGTTACACCTCTGGGACCAGAGAGCTTAAACTCTCTATGTTCAGCGTTTCATAGTGAAACACTGCACATACAGAGTCCAGGCACCATAACCACTTCAAATCACTGAACAACAATTTACAATGCAGGGTTAGCTTAGGCCATAAATGGTTGTAAGTATATGGATTTTTTAAAAAGACACATTTGCTATTATAAAAAAACAAAGAACCAAACATATGCGTGTTTTTTCACTAAAAAACAATTTTTTGTGAATTGAAAAATTAGTTGCAATATTCATGCAAAAAGTAGTGATTTTACACATTTTCCAACTCTGCTTTACTCACAGATTGACTACTCAAGCCTACACATTAATTTGGTTTTTAATTCACTACAACATGGTTTTAATGCACCCTAGTTATGTATATGCCGAATCTGATTTATACTTGGATAGGTCTTTGCCTTCCCTCCTCAGATATGGATATATCAAAACAATTAATGACCAGCTATTTTTAAGGACTGAAGGAGGAAAATCAGTGAAAATCCGTTAAGCTGCCCTTTGTGTGAAACAGCAAAAAAAACAACCCACAGGAATTGTGGAAAATTGATAAAGAAATAACGAACTCTGGCCAAACTAGCCTAGCTGGAAAAATAATACTGGAGAATAAGGCCATTTGGCTAATTTTGTATGAAAAGTGTAATTTCCTTGTTAATTCTACACAAACCTGTTTTCATGAATAACTTCACCCCAGGTTTATACATTATTTAAAGGATCACTATAGTGTCAGGAAAACAAACTCGTTTTCCTGACACTATATTCTCCTTAGGACCCCCCCAACCCTCAGAGCCCCCCTCCCTTCGCGTTGAAGGGGTTAAAACCCATTCAGCCACTTACCTTAATCCAGCGCCGGGCTCCCTCTCCTCCCCTGCCGACATCAGCTCCCGAGTGCTTTCCTAGGGATGTTCTGAACGCTGGATGCGATTTTCGCATCCAGCGTCGCAGAAGCGCCTCTAGCGGCTGTCAGGAAGACAGCCACTAGAGGCTGGATTAACCCTGCAATGTAAACATAGCAGTTTCATCTGAAGGGTTAAAACCTGGGGGACCTGGCACCCAGACCACTTCATTGAGATTAAGTGGTCTGGGTGACTATAGTGTCCCTTTAACGATATTATTGTCTCAAATGCAACATATTTTAATCTAATAAAATGTATTAAACATTCAGTGTTCTAACATGTTGCCATGCTATCAGAGACTGTAAGATATAGAGAAAGGTAAATTGTATCTGGAAATATCCTGCAGAATTCCTTTGGGAAGTTTGATCATCCGTTAACCTTGATAATTCCTATTAGGTCAGAAAAGCCATGAGAAATTCACATAGCTACAAAAGCAAAACACACGTAGTACAATTGTACTGTTACGTGGAGACTTAACCTTTTAGTGCTATGGTAGTTATACGTTTCTCATCCCTTTGGTACTGTAGAGGTTGAATACAAAAAAAAATATTAAGCAAAGATGGATCTCACAGAGCCCTAGGCAGGATACCTTTTTGGGCCCCCACATTCATTCTCCGCATAGGGATGGTGAATGGGAAAAAACTAATTCCTGATTTTGTGGCCCCTGTCGAACCGCTGGGCCTCAGCCAGTCGCCTACAGTTAATATTCTTACTGTTAATATTGCTCTGATATAAAGTATTGTAAAGATGAACATGTTGATTTCATAGACAAAGTTGGTAGCTGCTTAAAGGGATTGGTAGGGGCTGGAATCTAAATTGGATTGATTATATACCTGTCTATGTATTGTTTCATTCTAATTTGAATCAATAACCGGAAAAGCAATGAGATAACTTAAAGGGTCCAATACGAACACCAATACTGTACAGGTCAGTGTAGTGGATATGGTGAAATAATTCTATGGACGCAGTTTTACATTTTTTTGTCAAACATTTTGGGAGATGTTTGACAACAAGGCTCTCCCTGACACACAGAATCCACTCTCTCTTCTAGAGTTTACACTTCTACATTAACAGAATCAATATGGTCCTGATAGTAATAATTTGCAGACAGGAACAAAGCTGATGCAGAGATTTTTTTTTTATTGTGGCTACTTCAACCTAAAAATATAAAAATAATATTAACCCCTTAAGGACACAGTACATGTGTGACATGTCATGATTTCCTTTTATTACAGAAGTTTGGTCCTTAAGGGGTTAAATCAATGAATGCAACTAATACAGGATTTAACTGCAGACTAAAAGAAGAAAAACTACCACAATAAGAGGACATAGTCTTGAATTAGAGAGGCAAAGGTTTAAAAATAATATCAGGAAGTATTACTTTACTGAGAGGGTAGTGGATGCATGGAATAGCCTTCCAGCTGAAGTGGTAGAGGTTAACACAGTGAAGAAGTTTGGACATGCGTGGGATAGGCATAAGGCTATCCTAGCGATAAGATAAGGCCAAGGACTAATGAAAGTATTTAGAAAATTGGGCAGACTAGATGGGCCGCATGGTTCTTATCTGCCGTCACATTCTATGTTTCTATGACTACAAAACAATAACTATTATAATCTCAATGTTCTCACTAGGAACACTTTCCAACTCGGCACTTTGATGGGTGTGACACGAAAGGGGATGCTGTATATTTAAATAATTACACTGATTATCTCACCAGTAAATGTCTGCTTTCTAATGTAAGACATCGCCATGGAGACAGCCACGGAAGTGGTACTTTCCTACAGTAATCCTGCCAAAAACTACAGAAATTAAATAAACTAAGGGTCTCTTTTACTAAGCAGTGGATTGAAAACTGAATTGCAAAACGTACAGACCAAAAGGGCCAGGCAAGAAAAACATATATAGATAACACAGTTATATTGTCTTAATAATGTAATTTGGATTTTAGTTCACTATAATTAACCATACAGTGGATAATCACAGTTTTCTGCACCATATTATGAAATGCTGCTGAAGGTCACGTCGCCCTCATCCTGCTACGTGCAGCACGTGTCCACAGAGCCTGGGAGGGACCACAAGCAGAGCTTCCCAGGGAGCTTGCCACAGGTAGGGACTCTGCTAAGAGCTCCTACCGCCATCTTTGAATAGGGCAATATTTCCACAAGGGACCTAGGTTGCTAAATTACAATATATCTCTGCACAGGTGTGTATATGCACTTTATTATAAAGTCCAAGTATAAAGGGAAGCTACAATAAA